AAATGCCTCTACACTCACCTACAGGTCATTGTGATGGGGGCATTTTCTCAGTGGAGGTTCTCGGGGGGAAAATGTACCACTCATCCCTCTTCTCAGCTGACCTTGGCTTGTGTCAATTAAGCTGCACAACATGCATATAAAGAGCACTGGTCCATTCACTTACACTGTGTTTTTCCTATTATTGAAAATAGAGCCGGGCGGTGGTGGCGCATGCCTTTAATCCCAGCACTCGGGAGGCAGAGCCAGGCGGATCTCTGTGAGTTCGAGGCCAGCCTGGTCTACTAAGTGAGTTCCAAGAAAGGCACAAAGCTACACAGAGAAACCCTGTCTCAAAAACCAAAAAAAAAAAAAAAAAAAAAAAGTTTTTTTTTTTTCCTCACATAACATACCCTGATTTCACTTTCTCCTCCCAGTTCCTCCCCAAGTCTCTTCCATACGGACTCACCCCCTTTCTGTCTCTCATTAGAAAACAAACAGGCATATAATATAATATAAAACGATGAAACAAAAACTAACACATCAGAATAGGATAAAAGAAACAGAAGGAAAAGAGTCTGAGAAAAGGTACAAGAAACAGAGAGCAGCTCCTCGGCCCCACATCATATGACCGGGGGTCGGGTGGAGGGTGGGATGTGGGGGGCGGGGGGTAATTCCGCCAAACAAGGTCTGGGGATTCCAGCCCCAGCCCATCACAGAACTCCAGCGGCACTTCCACATCAGTCAGGAAGCATGGCCCAACCCAGCGTCACAACGAACTGCGTGGGACAAGAACTGAGCGGGGACCCCCCCTCCCCTCTGCAAGCCTGGGGCTGTCCTCCCCGGGCCCACCCGGCACCTTGCAGTACCAGCCAAATGGGCACTGTTAGAGTGAGCGGAGGTGTGATGTTATGTGAGAAAGAGAAAGAAAGAGACTCAGTGGTTCAGGCCCTGTGGGCACAGGCATATCTGGAGAGGCGAGAGAGGAAGGGGGTGGGCTGAGGTGAGTGACTTGATTGCCACAGAGCCAAGGTGATGTCACGGCATGCCTGTGATATGTTAAGGCATCCTGATACAGGGAGTTTTCCTTATTGTAACTCATGAAGCTGCTTTACAGAAAATCACACATTAGAAAATTCAACACAACAGAGGCCTGTCTCAAATGGGGCAGACACGACTCTTCACGGTTCAGCAGATTCTCCCAGGCGGCCAGATCCCCCACAAACACAGAGCCATGAACTCCAGCTCCATTCACTAACACGGCCAGGGAAGTCAACCTCACTCTCCACAGGGACACTGTCATCACATGGACAGTTCCAGAATTTTCCATCATGAAAGCCAAACTCCTCAGACCCCATGTCTCACACCATCTTCCTCCCCATGACTTGGAACACACTCTGTGTGTGTTGGGGCGGTGGGGGTGGGGGGGGAGAGGTTTACCACAATTGTTTCCAACTTCACCTTGTACTTGTGACTTCCAAGCCACTGAATCATACAGTCCCTTCTGTCCCCTCCTAATGGACCTCTTGGCAGGTTGAACACAATGGAACATTTGCTTCTTGAAAGACCTCCCCTGCTTTCCCTTACGGCACACCCCTGGCATCCAGCGCACACCCCTTAGAAACACACATCAACGTGTCCCTTCACAGGCTGTCCCTTCCCTTGACTCTGCTTCCTCTGCAGCTCATTCTACCCACTCCTGAGGTGGTGAGGGAGGCCTTTGAAATGTTCACGGTAGGGCTGGAGAGATGGCGCAGGGGTTAAGAGCACTGGCCGCTCTTCCAGAGCGGCCCTAAGTTCCCAGCACTCACACCAGGAGGCTCCTAACTGTCTGTAACTCCAGCTCCAGGGGATCTGACCCATCATGAGCACTACACTCACAGGCACATACCCCCGCGCAGACAGACACACATCTACACCTAACTCCAATATGAAAGCCCTGACGTCACTAAGCCCGACTTCCACATCCAGCTGCTTGCTGCCCATCACCGACACTCCATGGCTCAGCGACAGTGGTGGCTGAGGAACAGTCCCCACTTGCTTTCATGTTGGAGGCCATCGCCGTGGCTAGTCCCTCTGGCTTTGAACCCCATAGCCACTGGCTACATTTCAGCCTTCTTTAGTCTTTGGGATCTTCACCCCCAAATCACCTTCTCAGCCAGGCCCTCTGACTAGTCCCCCACAGAGAAGCCCCTATGCCTCAGCCAGCCTTCTGCAGCTCTGGCCACCAGTACTGCGCTGCTGTGATTGTCTCAGAAGCCAGCTTTTTGTCACGGTACCTTATTCCTGAAAATCCCCCTCCCCCGCCTTTAAAGAGAGAACCACAGCCCAAACCAGATGATAAACAAAACCTTTTTTTTTTTTTTAATTTTATTCTATAGAAAGGAGGAAAACACATTTTGCAGGTGACTTGTTTAGAGGGCTCGGTGACGTAAACAATAGCACCTTTTCATGCCGGTTATTCAAAGATGGCAGGAGCGAAGCAGTGAAGGGGGGCAAAGGGCACCCTTGTAAGTCTGTTTAGTGTACTTAACGGCGTATTGATTGATCTTCTTCCACAGAAACGACGTCCCCATGAATGCAAGCACCACAGGCATCCTTACAAATGTCTACTGTGTTGTGAGTCTCTGAGGTCCTCCACACGCATCCATAACAATGATGGATGCAGGCGTACTGAATGTCTTCCATCAATCAGGACACGCAGAGAACACTGGCATTTACGCGCCCCTGCATAGCATCATTCCTCAGGCCGGCGCGCGATTATGTTTCCAAGGATTCCACAAAGGTTATTTTTGTATCTCGGCTTCTGATTTAGTTGTGAGATGTAAAAAATCCTACATTGTCGGGCAATGAGTTGGGTCCTGAGAAACGGCTTAAAAGTAAAAATGACCCCACCAGGTAATCCACACATAAATCCTTGGTGCTAAATCCTTAGGATAAAAATATCCACTGGTAAAGAAACCCTTACTTAAAGGGAAAGAGAACATTGAAGAGGATGCATGTGCCCTGAAAAATCTAGGCTCAAAATTAAGGCTTTTTTTTTAAGATATCAATTCTCAGTTGGTATTCGAATAGTCGGTCTGTCATTTGCTCTACATCAAAGCATAATATCTTTATAAACTGTGTTTTTAATTTCTGTTGCCTTTTCCTAAGGTGTTTAGCTTGCATTGATTGTTTTCCTGCTCTGTGAGTGTTCCCAATTTCTCAATTCCTGTCCTGCACACTCCTCCCCAGCCTCTCTCTAGTCTCAACGAACAGAGAAAATGCAGAATCAGAAGTAAACTGAAGATGTTTTATTCATGGTGAGGCTTCTCTACTTGCAAAAAGAAACAAACTCAACCCCGTTATCTAGAGATACCAGGGAAGGATCCCCAGAGCCAGCGGAAGGCCCAGATCCTAACAGAGAGGAAAGGCTGGACAACACAGGTCTTCATGTTCAGACGTGCTGGCTTCCGTCCTGTTCAATGAAACTGTTCTCTGGCTGGTAACACTTCATGAGCAGAGGTGGGGTGGGGGCAGACTGAAGGCTTTGAGCAGAGGTGGGGGGTCAGGGGGATTGAAGGCTCCCCTGCACTGTACCCATCCCCCAGGGCATTACTGCAATGTCAAAAAGGTAAGTGCTATGACAGCAAGGGCCACACTCACAGCTGTATCAGCAAGGATGCTGGAGTCATCCGCACGACACCCAGAAACCCTTATGGTCCTTGTCATTCACTGGACTGTTCTCAGTCCACTTGCTGGCTGAACCACAAAATCCAAGTTTTCACAGACTGAATCCAGTGTGATCCACCAGACCACAGCACTGGCACAGACTAGTCCTGATACTTAACTGAATTTGGAAAAGGAGGTATTGCATGAATTTGGACACAAGTCAAAAGTAAGCTACATGGGGAAAAAAAATACATTGTTAAAAAAATAAACACACGAAGACTTTTGGCGGTGTGGCTTTGAACCTACGGGGTTTAGAAGCCTTCTAAGCAAGGTTAATGAACTGCGGAGGAAAACATAAAGGAAAACATTACAATATACAAAACTTAGGAGCTTGAGATCCAATCATGTGCAAATACATTTTTATAACAAAATCACCTCGCTTTAAATGTTAACACACAACATTTTTCATACATTAATACTGAACTGTTAAATTACTACATATTAAAAATTATGGCTTGAAAATGAGGGCTGCTTCAGAGCACTTTATTCCAATTTCATTCTGTAAGGACCCAGGGAAATTGACCAACCCCACGCCACCCTTCTAGGAGGGTGGAGGCTGCAGCCACCAGGGTGGAGGCTGGCTCTCCTGGGCCAGAAGCAAGTTACTATGTAACACTCAGAAAAGCAAGAGTTAACCAGCTCCAGGTGCAGCTCCAATCCTGGGACCCCCATAGGATTGGCTGACACCCGGGGGACCTGTGGACCCAGCATCCTAACTCTGGGCGACACCCTGTACGCTCACCACAGCAGAGGGCTTCCGAGAGAATGGTACCAACGCATAACCTCAAAAGCAGCAGAAACCTCAGCAGATGGCTCTGAGCCTCTGTTTCTGGGGTGCAACCGTTAGAGAAGGTAAAACAGCAACCATGAGAGCCAGAGGATTTCACACTGAGTTTTACGCTTTATGAATCAGCCTCAGTATCTCATTCCTGCCGAGTTCCCGGGGAATAATTCCCACCATCAATGGGACCCTTTAAAGCAGTGCATCTCAACCTCTCTACTGCTGACACCCTTTCATAAATTCCTCATGCTGCGGTGACCCCCCCCCCAGCCATTTCCGTTGCTACATCGTAACTGTAACTTTGCTACTGTTTCCAATTGTAATGTAAATATCTGTGCTCTCTGGTGGTCTTAGGTGACCCCTGTGAAAGGGTCACTTTACCCCCAAAGGGGTCACGACCCACAGGTTGAGAACTGCTGGCTTAAAGGTGCATCCACTGGCAATCCATGTCAGAAGACTCGATGTTTACACAGCGTAACAGTGAGCCGTAGCCTTGTGTTAGAATCCCCAATACAATGAAGAGAACAGAAAAGGACTTCCGGTACCATTTATTTCCTGTGACAGTCACAAAGCCCAGAAAAAAAAAAAAAAAGGCACAGTAATCACTGTGTTAACAATAACAACATCCATCAAAACAAGTGATCTCCCCCAGTTTCCCCCAAGAGTCCACCCATCAAGAAATACCCTCTTTCCACACAGGCTGAGACGTGTCTGTTTCCTGTGGCCTACACAAGCAGCCGAACCACAGCCCAGCCGATGGGGCGGATCTCTTCGCCTGCTCCTCCCAGGTTCTGGGTCTATAATTCTTCTCTTGGATCCTTCTGTGTCTCCCGTGTGGCGTCGCCCTCCTCGCCGGGTGCCAGCCAGGTGAGGTACACCTCCACCGGGTCAATGTGCCAGTGTTTGTGAAACGATACGGGAATCTGATGGGAGAGGTAGTCCTTGGGGTAGTCGACTGGCCGAGCCTGCACAAAGAACATGGTTATGGTTTCCCGGGGTTAGGAACAATCTCGGCCCATGCCTCCGCAGTAAGGGGAACAAACAACAAAGAGCCACCACACTCAGTCCCAAAGGGGACGTCCCCATCAAATCCCCCACCCAGGGCTCAAGGAACCCTACAGGCCAGGAGGTGGGAAGACTGTCAGGGCCAGAGGGGGTGGAGGCCACCAAGGAAACAAGGCCTTGAAGACACAACAGGACCAATGCACGCATGAACTCGCCGAGACTGTGGCAGCATGCACAGGGTCTGAGCAGACCTGCGTAGGTCTAAGTCAGACAGGGTCCCAGAGCTGAGGAGGGCGTGGACACACGCCCCCATCCCTAACCCAGAAGCTCTCTCCAATTGATAACTGCTTGCAAAGGAAAAACTAGTTCTCTCCAATGGAGTCTCACTGGGTATACAAACCGCTCTTACGGCTAGGCCCCATGCTCCGCAGAGGACGGCCAACACAGGATGAACTCACTGCTATTTTTAGAGGGATTTTGTTGATGATTTTTTTTGTTTGTTTGTTTTATTTTTGTCTCAGTGTTTTGTCTGGCCTCCCCCCCCCCCCTTTACAGGTCTTTTGATTATATACTATGGTTTCCGATTTTGTGTTTTTATGAGACTTCTGTGCGTGCAAATGTGTGTGTATCTAAATCTCTATGTGTTTTTTTTTCTTTTTCTTTGTGTGTGTGTGTGTGTGTGTGTGTGTGTGTGTGTGTGTTTTGTTTGGCTCTTCTATTCTGGTTTGTTTCTTTTTACTTTATCTTATTTTTGTTTTTAGATCCCTGTTGGTTTTCTAAAGAGAGAAAGGGTGTGTAGATTTGTGTGTGTGTTGGTGGGTGGGGTAGAGGAGGCTCCGGGAGGGGTGACTGTACTCAAAATGTATTATATGAAAAAAAATCTATTGTCAATTTAAAAAGAAAATGATTGGCTCAGCAAATGAAGGTGCCTGAGGACCTGGTTCCATCCCTAAAGCCCATACCTTGAGGGGGAGACCTGATTCTAGCAAATTCTCATCTGGCCATAACATGCACAGTGTGATGGCATCCTTCATCCACACACACAGTAAGTAAAGGTAGATCTTTTAAATTATTATTTCAAAATAACATTTTGTGTTGCTTTTTTGAGACAGGATCTCTCTACATAGCCCAGGCTGGCCTGGAACTTTCTATGTAGAGCAGGATGGCCTTGAAGTCAGAGATCTGCTTGCCTCTGCCTCCTGAGTGCTGGGATTTAAAGCCTGCCACAACAGCTGGCCCAGGACAAACGCTGATTCAGATCGCCACCGCTTCGCTTTAATATGCGATAGTGACTATGGGAGCCTTGAAGCAAGAAGGGACATATTTTCAACTGCTTTCCCTCAAATTCCGTATCTGCTGTCTTTAATTTCTCAAATGCTTTACTTTCTAAGTCTGCTTTCCACACTTTGCTTCCGGGAGACTGTTCCAGCATGCTAATAAAGCAGTTTGCTCCATGAATCACTTAAGTCAGCACCATGTGATATTTGATTAAAAAACAAAGGAAGAAAACGTATTTAGTGGGTCTCTTCTGAGAAACTGCCACGCCTGGGTTATGCAGGAGCTGGGGCAAGGTGTTCTCAGGGCCTGGCCACCTACTGCGCCAACAGATCCAGGTGGCAGCCTTCAGAAAAGGAACCACAGGCTCACTGCAGGGAAGGGCAGTGTGATTCTGGCCTAGAGGTACAAATGAAAACAGGTCCTAACCCTAAGGAAAACTATAAGGGTTTACTACCATCACCGTCCAGATTCTCTACAACTCAGAAAAGGCAGAAAAGGCAGGACGAGACAGGCCCCACAGTGACAGGATCGAGGTCAAAAGCCACAGCGCTCCAAGGCAAATTGAAACCAGACATGATTTGGTTCGCATTAACCAAAGCATTCCATTCCTGTCGGTGTCCTTAATTTGCCTATAAATTTATAGAGCAATTTGTTTTATATAGTAAATTATTGCGCTTACGATATTAAAATTGTCTCAATTTTAAGATGATGACACAACACACCTTTTTGGATTCTTTTATTTGATGTGTAGGAGTGTTTGCCTGCAGGTATGCGTGTGTATGACATGCGTGCCTGGTGCCCACGGAGGTCAGGAGAAAGCACTGGATCCCTGCCATGGGAGTTACAGATGATACAGAGCATGGGCACTGGGAACCGAACCTGGGTCCTCTGCAAGAATAGCAACAAGCTTCTCTGGTGATGGTTGAGTGAGCCACTGACCTAAGGGTAGAGCGGTGGAGATGTGGCCTATTTTTGTTAGCTCCATATCAAAACTGACTATGTTGGCTGACATATTTGTAAGTCTTCATCTCTTCTTCCCCAAGCCAATGAATCTCTTCTGGAAGCAGAGCTTTTCTTTATTCCAGTGAGGCACACACAGGAAAAAATGATGTTCCCTGTAACCACACTGAAAGGGTAGGGGTCAGGCAGAATGCAGTGACTTTGGGCACGAAGGACTCGCATCCCAGTATTCATATTCAAAAGGACATAGAGCAGGGGATTTTTGGAAATCACTGCTTCTCAACTTATTGTTAGTTTTTATTTGATGTCCAGAGTCCTGAAATCATTATTTTTAACAAATCCTTGTCCAGTTTAATATCTGTATTTTGTGCAGAGAACTCACTGGCCATTGCATACTGTCATATCCATTAGTGAAATCGGATTTTGGAAGGGTTGATCTAACATTCCTTAGAGTCCCCTTCTAAACCTAGGATTTCATAATGATATGCCCTGGCAGGAACAGAAAGTAGGCAGCCTGGCCAGTACTGCCACTGAGAACACCCTATGACCCCCCTCTCCATCTCTCACACAGCAGGAATCTGAGGGGTGGGCACAACTTCTCAGACTCTCTCAGCACCAAGACAGCGTGGAGATCTGGGTTTAGACATTGCGAATGTCAAGCCCTCTCTGAATCTGCTCACACTCTAAAAGCTGCTGAAGCCCGTGGACATGGCAGTGCCGGCTGGGGGAACAGGTTGCAAACACTCTGTGACTTCACACAGGGTTCAGGCTTACCACGGGAATGAAAGGAAACACCGTGAGGAACAACACGTAACTCCAAAGAAATCGTTTCTGAATTATCTTCAAAGGACTTTCACTTCGGGATTACGTTATCTTTCTGTCTCTCTGCCTTATCATTTTATTGACTAATGTATTTTATCCTAGGAGGAAGGGGCTGCTATAGGACAATCCAATTAATCTTGATAAGTGACTTCCCTTACACACAAACAGTTTTAATTATTTTTCCAGGGGTGAAACACTGTGACATAAAACATCATAACACAGAGCCTGAGAGGGAGAGACAGGGAATAATTCACTTTCTGAGTTATCGTAAAGATAGCACAAGACACAGGCTGAAATGGGAAAAACCTCTGGAGGCCTGGGCGCATCTGTGCCTTCCCCGGGGCCCAGGAGTAAGGGTTCCTGTGAGCATCATGTGCCTCCCCCGGGGCCCAGGAGTGAAGGGTCCCGTGAGCCTCGTTTTACAAAGGTTTATTCTCAACCTCCCTGTGTTTTCTCAGACACCAATATGGGTTCTATCTTTGTTGCTAATGCTTATATTTTCTTTGCTTTGTTCAAGTTGTTTTTCTATGGTGAAATTCCACCGTGCTCAGTTTTCTATGTTGCTGTGCTAGCATTTACTACTTATTACTGTAGGAGAGAGAGAGAGAGAGAGAGAGATTCAGAGGAAGGGGCTGGAGAGATTGCTCAGTAATTAAGAGCATTTGATGCTCTTGCAGAGGACCTGGGTTCAGTTCCCAGCACCCACACAGTGGCTCACAACCATCTGTAATCCCAGTTCTGGGGATCCAGTGCCCTCTCCTGGCCTCTCAGGGTACTTCACACAGGTAGAGCACAGACACACATGCAGGCAAAACACCCACATAAAGATAGTAATAATAATATAAGTCGGGCGGTGGTGGCGCACGCCTTTAATCCCAGCACTCGGGAGGCAGAGCCAGGCGGATCTCTGTGAGTTCGAGGCCAGCCTGGGCTACCAAGTGAGCTCCAGGAAAGGCGCAAAGCTACGCAGAGAAACCCTGTCTCGAAAAACCAAAAAAAAAAAAAAAAAGATAGTAATAATAATTTTAAATAATTTTAAAAGTGCAGAGGCTATATTTTGAATATATGGTGGGCCCTTAAAATATACATGTATCTACATTCAAATGTCAAAAAGCTTCATATTTCTTAAAAAGGATATGTGCATAGTGAATGGATGTGAATTACAAATTATTATTTTTAGAACATTAGTTGACTAGGTTCTTAAAATATTACTAAAATTAATGGGAAGAATTCCCTTTTCCAACTCCGAAATTCATATCAAGGAAACATGAGAACCATGGCCCCTATAAACATCATTTTATCCTTTTACTGACTAATGTAATCCTTTTATTGATTTTCTGTAATCTGGGAAACAGGTTCAGACACCACCTTGAAATTCAGTGGACTTTAGCCACCTGTTTAAAAGTAAACCAAGGAGAAAAAGCCCAGAAAAACTCCACAAGCCAAAGTAAAAGCAGGCTCCCTTAAACCTGCATCTCTCCAACGGATGCCAGCCCGGAAAGACACAAGTTCTTCTTTCCTGTCCAGGGCAGCAATTTCGGCTGACATCTATGGCTTCACTTCCTGTCCCCCAAATCAATGTCTGTCTACCTTCCCGAAGGAGAAGAGAGGAGGGGAGGGGAGAGCAGAGAAAAGGGAAGGGGAGGGAAGAGGGAAGGGGAGGAGAGGAGAGGGGAGGGAGGGGAGAGGATGTGTGCTTCCTAGTCCTACTTGCAAGGCCACTGGTCCAACATCACTTGGTTTTCTGGATGTTGTTGCCTCGTCTTTATGATGCACATGACATGCACAAGATCTGCTAAGGACATCCCTCATGGAAGGGCTGGAGAGATGGCTCAGTGGTTAAGATCACGGACTGCTCTTCCAGAGGACCCAGGTTCAGTTCCCAGGACCCACACGGCGTCTCACAACCATCCAAAACTCCAGATTCATGGAACAGGATGCCGTTTTCTGAGCTCCGTGGGCACAGGCATGTGCATGATACACCTACATACATGCAGGCAACACACACACACACACACACACACACACGTGTGAAAAATAAAAAGAACATCCCCCACGGAACCTATCCTATTCCCTAAGATTATTTTCAAAACATGAGGGGAGAAAGAAACAGACGCTCTCAGTGAGAGGGGAAGCGAAACATTTTCTCACCTGATGGAAGAGGGGGCTGTGGGTCACAGGGACCCCCAACCCGCTGAAGCACATGCCCAGGACCATGTCGTCGGGAGCATCATTGCTGTAGCATCGGCAGCTGCTGGCAAGAAGTCTCCGGATGGCTTCCCTGCTGAAGACCATGCTGGTGGGAGCGGACAGAAAAGGAGTTAGGGGGGTTAGCGCCATGCAGCCAGTTCCCGGGGATGGAGGGCTACGGCTGAGGGGCCGCACTCCTGAGGACGGTGCCCATCCCTGACGCGGGCACATCACTGACACGGGCCCATCACTGACGCGGGCACACTTCCACTGACTCCGCACATTCACTGTATGAAAGCAAAATCACTGCGAGAGACGGTTCCCGACCCAGTAGACAGCTGTGTGTGTCTCCCCTATAAACGAACGCTACGTGACCGTGGTTTCCCTAACATTACTGTCTTTGTTCTCTGTCATCTAGAAAGGGAGCTTCCCTGGAGAAAACACCTCACCTGCGGGCATTTTCTGGGTGAATAATTGATGCAGGAGGGCTCGGCCCACTGTGGGTGGTGACAGCACTGGGCAGGTAGTCCTGGGCTGTGTCAGGGCAGGCGGAGGAAGCCACGGGGAAGAGGTCAGAGTCCCTCCATGACCTCTGCTCACAGAGTCCCTCCATGACCTCTGCTCAGCTCCCGCCTGGACTTCCCTTCATGGTGGACTGCAAACTCCGAGATGAGATTAACCCTTTCCTCCCCGAGTTGCTTTTGGTATCTGTCACAGCAACAGAAAAGTATCTGACGGAGGGGTGGGCAGACCGTGACATATCTTCAACAGTGCCGTGACACCATTTGGCCTGGGATGTGGGGACTTCAGCCCACTGTGGTATTTCTATGCTTCCCTCAGCATCCTAGGCAGCAAAGGCCTTTCATTTCTTTTCTTTCTTTCTTTTCTTTCCGAGACAGGGTTTCTCTCTGTGTAGCTTTGGAGCCTGTCCTGGATCTCGCTCTGTAGCCCAGGCTGGCCTCAAACTCACAGAGATCCGCGTGGCTCTGCCTCCCGAGTGCTGGGATTAAAGGCGTGCGCCACCAGCGCCCAATCCTCCCGGGCTCCCCTTGATAGCTGAGCCCTTGGTTCATCTGACAGTAGGGGCCCCAGACGGAGGGAGGATGGTTAGCTGCTGCCCGTGGTGGTCTGTGCCGCAGAGGCGGCCGCAGGGGCAGCCACACATTCTTACAGAGTGTCAAGGGAGCCAGTCCCTGCGTGGGCCTCGATGGAGCCTCGTCGGGATCCCGCAGCCGCGGTGGGCGGGGTGAGCGGAGTGGGCGGGGTGAGCGGAGTGGGCGGGGTGAGCGGAGTGGGTGGGGTGAGCGCACCCACCCCAGGCAGCAGAGGTGCTCTGTAGTAATGACCTCGGGGTGAATTTATCACTCTCCCCTGATAAATTCTTTTTGAAAGAGAGAAGGGTTTCTGGTTTCCTTTCTGGTCCTCTTCAGGTCACAACGCCCCAAAGGTGGCGCAGCTGAACTAAAATCCATGCACGTCTTCTCACAACCCAGTGCACGCACGCACGCACGCACGCACGCACGCACGCACGCACGCAGCAGGCACTCAAATGAGTTCAATGTGTAAAACGACTCAGCAAAGCGTCCTCTGCAAAGATCTTCCACGAGTCCACCTACCAGGACGGCGCTGGAGGAAGACTGTGCAGACCGTGGTTAGAAAAGTGATTCTCCACCCACCGGGGTCTGCTGAACGCAGCTACACACCAGAGACAAGCGCAGGGAAGGTCAGTGCAAACGCCAGGGACGACAGTGCAAACACCAAGAACACAGTGCAAACACCAGGACTGATAGTGCAAACACCAGGACGACAGTGCTGCTGGTCTCGCTAAAATGCAGTTGATTGAGCAACAACCAGAAGTTCTTCCTAAGCTGACACATAAGGAAACACAAGTGTGCAAGAAGGAGGGCTGAAGTTCCCATCATTATACACGGGAGAAACTGCGAGTCTGCAAACCGGCAAGACCTTCCTCAGACGTTCGACCAGTGAGACCCCAGGGCCACGTGTTTTCGGTCAAACTCCAGCACAGTCAGCGACAGCCACCCCAGCCTCCCCACCCCAGGGACAGGGCTCGTGTGAGGGAAGAAAACGCTTTGTTCTCTTTTGCAAGCTCCAGTGTGTGGTTGAACATTATTTTAAGGTGTGTTACTTTTGTTTACCTTGTATTTGTTTAACTCTGTGAAGCTGTGATACTGTGCCTGTCTAAAACACCTGATGGTCTAATAAAGAACTGAACGGCCAATAGCAAGGCAGGAGAAGGGATGGGCGGGGCTGATGGGCAGAGAGAATAGACAGAGGGAGAAATCTGGGAGAGAAGAAGGAATGAGAGAAGGAGGAGGACTCCAGGGGCCAGCCACCCAGCCAGCCACAGAGTAGAGTAAGATTTACCTAAATAAGAGAACAGGAAAAGCCCAGAGACAAAAGGTAGATGGGATAATTTAAGTTAAGGAAAGCTGGCAAGAGACAAGCCAAGCTAAGGCTGAGCATTCATAATTAAGAATAAGTCTCGTTGATGGAGGATTTTTTATACATTTATAATAGATAGAAATAAACCAGAAAAAAAGAAGAAAAAAA